TATATATATATATATGTCATGGAAGTGAAGGGAATATAAAAGTATCACTAGGGGGTACTCGTCACCTTGCGATTGCTATAGAAGGTTCCGTGACTTGCACTAAAAATAGCAATATTACCTACAATCCCGTGCTGCCAGCCATACTGGTTCCAGAATTGCGAACATGTGTTACCAATATGCACAATCTACCGATTTTACATCGATAGATTGGCATATGATAGTGTTATTATAGTAATCTATATTAGCAGTAAGTGCATAAATCCCGGTTTTGCAGACAGGTTTACCAGCGCGTGTTGGGGTGCTAGAGTTCGATATGATTGTGCAGACTCGGTTTTACAGGGTGTTGCAGGCAGGTTTATCAGCGTGGGTTGGGGTGCTAGTCTGCTAGAGTTCAATGAGATTACACAAGTCCAGATTTGCAGGGCTTTGCATGCAGGTTTATTAGCGTCGGGAGATTGCACGCAACACATGTGTTCATGGACTTGAGTTTGTTTACATCGCGAGTGTTCAGATTTTACTGCATATAGCTATCAAATGCAGCTTTTTATAATATCTGGTGTATGCACATTTGCCAACTGTCTGAAGTGTACATAGCATGGACAAGTACTTTGATTCACTAGACAACGTAGCCAAAGCACGCTATCTCGAGAAAATTGCATGCATTGGGAATCGAAACCCATAACAGAATGGAGCGAGGACCACAACTTGTGCCCATCGCGTACTTATATGGATCTCGTGAATTGACTACCTAACATTCTAGCCGAGTCCATTTTATACTCTCAAGAACTTTCAGAACCACAAAAGCCTGGATGCCTACGATTGGCTGTTCTGCGGTTGGGTTAGTGATGTATCAGTCTACATCTATCATGTGAACAGTAAGAGTCCTATCTACGTTATCCGAGCACGTGTTATGCACTCCCAGTCTCTGATTATACCATCTCTCTATCCGTGCATGGGTCACGATGAGAGAATATGGGACAGGCATCATGTCAGCACACTGTAATTATAAAGCCGGGCTTGGTGAATTCTGTTCACATGTTGCCTCGGTGCTATTTTATGTAGAGTATGCTGCACGTGCAAGAGAAATCACGACCCCCACTCAAACAGCTGCCTACTGGATGCCGGCGATATATGTATATAAGTGTAAATGTGTAGCGCCGTGCGTGCGGTGTACCTGTGTGTTGCAGAGGAGCATTTGATCGGCATTTACAGGTAATTATCGGCAATACTAGGCGAAAGAGAGTAGAGATACATTAAGACATTGGTAGTAAATACATTTCGTGTTTACTCCGCATTGATTTTTTATTGAAAATGCTCCAAGCGTCTGTGGTCCGCCTGGTCTCGCGTCACTTTACAGTTGTGTTGTGATCACGCTAGGCAACCTGAAAAAGCTGTGTGGCTCTCTCTGATAATACCGATTGCTGCAGTTGACAACACCGCAGGAGAGCGGTGTTGTGATGGATTTGCTTATTTGGATATGGATGGTGAATAAAATAAGCAGAGAACAGTGCCTTGGGCAATGTACTTGTACCTAAACTAAACCTGAACCTAGTTTCTGGAACCGTCAATGGCCGGCGGCGTTGCATTGTGGATAATTTGAAAATTCGCGGAACCCTCTACTTCTAGGCTCTATATCAGTATATGGTGTGTGTGTGTGTGTGTGTGTGTGTGTGCTGTAACGCGAGCGTGGTGGGCAGACTTGATCCCGCTGCCAGTGATACTAATCGAATTATGCCGACATGTGATTGCGTTCATCAACATGCGGCTAGCGACAGGGCGTCATCCCTATGTTACGGATGCGCGATTCACCCTAGCGGCGAGTTATGTAACTAAAACCATGTACAAGTACATTTGATAAACATGAATTTTACATTTTACCCTAACCCTAACCCTAACCCTAACCCTAACCCTAATCCTAACCCTAACCCTAACCCTAACCCTAACCCCTAACCCTAATCGCGCATGCGTAACATAGGGATGACGCCCTGTCGCTAGCCGCATCTCGTTCATCATGATGATGATCATGATGATGATGACTAGGCCTATATTTCATTTGTTTACCTCGACTTCATCCTCAAGACTCTGTTGATTAGCGGATGTACCCTGTTCTATACAGAGATAAGCACGCTGCAACAGGGAGCGAACAGAGGTGTCCACCGAACTACAGCTCATTGCGTGTTTTGAATAAACTGTAGGCCTACAAAGTACAATAAAGTTTAAATTCCACAAGTCTCACTACTTTGATTACGTTTTTGAATGTTACGCCGGTCAGTGCTGCCATCTCGCGTGGCAATGAGTTTCACTTTCAGCATGAAAGCCAGCGCAATAGTTTATCGTAATTTACCGTGATTTGTTTTTAGAAAAATTTCATGTTATTCATCTAGTACATATGATACATAGTTTTTACTTTTCACAAATTATTTGACATGAATAAGTTAAATGTTACTAACGTCGTCGGCGGTGTTAACCTTGTAAAGAAATTTCTTATTGGTTATTAGTGACATCATTGCTCATTGGTCAAGCGATCCTCTCGGTGCAAAAAGTAAGGATTGTCGAGTTATTGATGTGTTGTGTGTGTAGTCGTTGCTTGTATAAATTTGTAAACCACTGTGCAGAAAATGGGCAATTCTGCGGTTAAACAGCATCTGCAAAATGCAGAGAAGACAGGTGTTTGCCAACTAGGGAAAATGGGCATAGAAGAGGTAAGATTATTGCGTTTTCATTTCAATTTGCATGACTTGTACTAGTTGTACAACTGACCACATTACTTTATTACTATTACTAGGTATTAGTAGGGTATTTTAATACATTATTACTGTATTAGTATTACTTAGAATAGAAGGTCGAAATACACATTACATTACCGTTTACTGACATACTGTCAACATTGACTGCAGCCATAATCTTGTTCTGTTGTTGGAATGTTGGTTATTTCTTCGATGCAGCTAACTTGGTATTATTAATCTATTATGATCGCTATTAGTATTACTATTACTATTAGTATTATCTATCTACTCGCAGGCATGATATATTGTCTAAATTTGAGTCACTATATATATAACTATAAGTCAAACTGAAAGCCAAGCTGAAAGCGAGCACTGTGCCATATTCCCAACACTGGCAACAGACGACCCTGACCTAAAATAATGTATGAATCCCTTCACTCATGACCTGTCATTATATTTTACTGCCATGTGATGTTAACCCATTTTAAGACACATGTGTGATGTATGGTCACTCGCAAATTTATTTATGCAATCAAGTGCTTCCATACAAGAACATTCAACACATGTCAATACATCTGACTGCATGGTGACTTTTAATTGTGCCTGTTGGCCAAGTAAATGACTGACCTAATTGATTTACTTCCGTGAATATTGTGATTACGGTTTTTTCATCTAGGTTCCGCCAGCTCTGCACAGATTGGTTGGAAATCTGAGGACCCTGGATATGTCTGAGAACAAGATAATTTATCTGCCAGCAAATATGGGTGACTTTGGTCAGCTTAAGTCATTAAATATAAGCAACAACCGCATAGGTAAGAATTGGGGTTATGGGTTGTGGACTGTACAAAAATACCATTCAATAAGAGATTTATTATTGCCAGTATGATTTTAACTATACAACTACATGACTAAGTTCACATTGGTTTATATTTAAAAACAGATTGACAGTGTTCGTGACTAAAAACCATTGCTTTCATAGAATATTGCAAGCTGTATGTATTTGCAGTAAGTAAGTGTGCTTATTTATACGCATGTTTGTAGATAAGTTAAACAGATGGATCATCAGGGTATAAATATATATGATACATAATAATTCTCCTGTGAGATGGTTTCATAACATCAGGAGTCTATCAATATTGATAGACTACTGATAACATGTTAGAGGAGCCAGCAGTTTCTATAATGATATTTACACATATTCAAGTATAACTATAGTGTGCAGATCTTGGATTAGTCCATAATAAAAATATTGTTTGTTTGCCCTCACCCGACCGACCCGCCAAAAAGACTCAAAAAATTATTATTTTTTATTTTTATTTTTTTAACAAATTGTATCACTGTACATTATATAAATCTGTAGGCAATACATTATATGCACCAAGCAAAAGAAACATTCAACATAAAAGGTATCTCCACACAAGCACACCCGAGCATGTAGACACCACGCTGAATTTGTAAAAAGACCCCCGCCCTCAAAAAAAAAGAAAAGCCGACCTATACCTACCCAAACTTTTCAGCCTGGGTCGCGTGAGGGCAAACAAATTTTTTTTAAATTGTGGCCTTAACGTATTGTGGCACACAGTGTACAGCGTAATGTGAACAATAGTCGATGTCATACTGTGTTTTATCTTGATGGTGACGTAGATCACACGGCTACTGCCGTGAGCTGATACCAATGATGAAGAAACCGTCTAGAGATTTCTGTTATATGTCATGTAGATGCTGCACCTGCACGCTTGCAGATATTCATCCTGCAGGCACCTTGGCTGACACGCTTTTCACGCGATCTTAGAACAACATGATTTAGCCAAATTCTGAGTACAGGTCGTGAAAATCGTAGACATGCGATGGTAAACTGTTTGGTCAGCCTTATGGGTTAGTGGCGGTAAACTAAGGAAACGGGTGTTTGAGGGGGTGCAGAAATGTACTTATAGGCATATATTGCAGTTTCCTTGTACATGTATAGTTTGCATGTCTTTAACATAATAAGTGGCTTGGTAAGCTAGGGTGTCGTTTTATTAAAAAAAACAACAACCACTATATAGTGGATTTTCGGTATAACTCTTATAGGAAAAACCTGTAAATTTATAATTTTGATACCTGTGGGGAAATATTGTACGAGATTGTTAATGGTTATTACTAGTTTCACATCAAGCTAAAAAAGAAACAACCCATTTTATCATCATCATCATCATCACACTAGAGAAGAAGAGCATGCATATATAATTCTAGAATCAGCAAAGTAAATAAATTTAAGTAAATTTTTTTTAAATTTATATTGTCCCATCACAGTATGTTCTGAACTTCTGAGACAAGAATTGTCAAACCATGCACATGTGTAGTTACATTTTGTAAATGAGTTGTTATTTTTCGTTTTAGTCTCACTGCCTGAGAACATTGGGAAATTAAAAAGAATTGAAACCTTGATCGCCAGCCATAACCACATAACTGGACTCACACCAACCGTCTGCAAGTTAAACACGCTGAAAATCGTGTCATTTGGAAACAATAACCTGACCAAGTATGTGTAAGATTGCACCACAATTGTACAACACATGAGTAGTGTGAGTCTAAATGCTCTGAAATCCATGTGGGAGAACAGTGTGATCTGTTCCCACCATCACTCCATCGCCTCCACAACTTTATTTCTTCGACTGAATTAGCTGTATCCCAATGTATCTACACTTTCATTCTGAAAAAGTGTACATATTCCTTATGTATCTGTAGAGTAAAGAGAAAGAGCATGTTGAATTTAGTGCACATGAACCACATAACACTGACTGTTTTTCAGATTTCCGATGGAATTGTGTGGCTTGCGCTGTCTTAATGTTCTGGAGTTACAGTCGAATAAGATCGCAGAAGTTCCGGACGGCGTAGAAACGCTACAATGTATTGAACTTAACCTTAATCAAAATCAGGTGAGTATACAAAACTTAGAGTTTTCCACAGTTTTTAAGATGCAAGAATGGCAGAGCCACAGGGATGGGGAGGAAGAAGGGGTGGGGCTGTGCAGCCACGACATAGCATTAACTCGTTTACATTCAGTAACACAAACAATAGTTGATTCATCAAACAGTGGCTTGAATTGCCAATTGTCTGGCCAACTAATGACATTTTAGACTATGATGGGGGAAGCTTCGAGAAAGGGGGTTATTTTTGCTCTGAGGCAGAAATCCCCCCTACGTATTCTTCATACAAAACTTCTCTCTGCACGACATATATGGGGCAATGCACATAAATTTAAACCACTGAAATAATCTGATGGGGCCATATATTTTTACGGGTTATCTATAGCGGACACTATCATTGCTGCTTCCCTACATCTGACACTATCATTGCTGCTTAACTACATCTGACACTATCATTGCTGCTTCCCTACATCTGACACTATCATTGCTGCTTAACTACATCTGACACTATCATTGCTGCTTAACTACAT